ACCACAAAAGCTCTTCAAGTCAGCTGTCCAAGCTCAGATTCAAATCCCCAGTCAGCCAAGCTGCATCCAGTTCTTCATCAAAAAGTGCTGGTGGAGGTTGTCAGACGCCTTCCAATGTAGATCCTTAACAGAGAAGGAAGCGGCATTAAGGCCTCAAATCTGAAGTTAGCTGGTGTAGCTGAAACAGGGCAGCTCTCGGTGGAAACCACTTAAGATGATGAGCTACTTCTACCATTCTAAACAGATCTGTCTACAACCTTTTACACTATGCCCTTTCTATCAGTCCAAGAAACACCCAACTGGGTTCTAACAGTGTAATGCACTCAATGCAAGTACAAGGCAGGGTACCAGCTGGGGGCCCAACTGCTCAGTAGGTAAACTGCCTGCCTCAGATGTGCAAGACCCTAAATTCAATCTACCGCACCATAAACACTACAAAATCAAAATGGAATGCTGATCAGCCAGAAATGCCATTAGTACACAGCACAACTCTTGCACTTCCCAGCGTGTGTGTGTGTGTGTGTGTGTGTGTGTGTGTGTGTGTGTGCGTGCACATGCACGCGCTACTACTGAACCCAGGGCTTTCAAACTAGCTGGATAACCCCCATCCCTTTTGATTTTTAGACAAGGTCTTGCTAAGTCACACATTGCCCACACTGGGCTCTAACTTGCCACCTTCTTCCTGCAAGCTGGGATCACAGGCATGTGCCACCACGTGTGGCAACCCCTTTTTATTTTTAAACTGATCCAACCCAGTTCTGGAGAAAGCACCCTGAACACAGCAGGTTGGTACTAGCAGTTCACCAACAACAAGCTCGAAGGCCAGCTGCAGCTGAAGCCCTCTCCCATAGACACTGTGAGAGGTGGGGCTGCTGCACTGAACACCTCAAGACCAGCAAGTGTTACTGCTGGAGAACTGTAGAAGAAAGCCTCTCCTGGAAAGAAAAAAGAAACACAAGCCTGGCTGGCCAGGACTGTGGTGAATGACAAAGAAATGCAGCTATTAAATGCAGCTAGAGTTTTCTGGGTCCAGACAAAAGTGTGGCTTTTTTCCTTCTTTTTTGGAGACAGGGTCTCACTTTATGACACCACTGTGCCCGGGTTAAAGAGGCTGACTCTACCCTAACAACACCAGAAGTGCTGAGGGGTTTTAGGTGGGGACATCACCACCAGGATCGCAAAGACTGAAGCTGGGAAGAACCAAGGACTGCACCACTGGCTAGGCACTGTCTGCAGAAATCCATCCCAAAAGGGACACCTGACCCACTACTGAAATGCAGACTCCTAGGTTCTTCCCAAAGACTCTGTTTACTAGCTCTGGGGAAAGCTCCAGAAACTAGTGTCTACCCAATTCCTTGCGTGAAACTGATGTACTAAGTGTGGCTCTAAAACACACTGGCCAGGGGAAGGTGGGG